AATAGATCTCAGACATTCTAGTCATATTACCAATGTACGTAGCATAAGGAACGCAGAATGTGGGTCAGACCACTACCTTATTCTAGTCAATCTACGACAGAGAATTAAGATAGAGAAACTAACAAAACAGAAAACTGCAACAAATATTAATTTTGAAAAGTTAAGAGAAGAAAGAGTAAGGAAAGAGTTTCAGCTTAAACTGTCTAACCGTTTCCAAGCATTAAATAACCTTGATCAGGAAGACTCAGAGGTAAATAGAATTGAGAAGGTTTGGAAGAACATCAAAGAGACCCTGCAAGACTGTGCAAAAGAAGTTTGTGGGAAAAGGGAAAGGAAAAACAAAAAACCATGGACGAAGAATGTAAAGCTAATGTCTTACAAAGGAAAAAAGCAAAAGAAGTCTGGCTCAATAAGAAACAAGAAAGAGATAGAGAAAACTACACAAAAATCTCAAGAGAGACAGTAAAGGTACTTCGGAGGAAAAAAAGAGAATGGGTAAACCAAATCTTAGAGAAAGCTGAACAAGACAGGACAGCAAACAACAGTAGAGACTTCTACCGATCAATAAGATTTTTTAGGAAGGGATACAGTCCAATGCCATATGGGATTAAAAACAAATCAGGACAACTGGTGGTGCAGAACAAAGAAGGACTACAAGTATGGCAGGAACATTTTAAAGATCTTTTGAATGTAAGACAGTCTGAACAAGAAGAAGAAGAGGAGGAAGTGTACCAGAATGTAGATCCAATTGTACCATACCCAACAATTCAAGAAGTAAAAACGTCCATCAAGGAATTAAAAAATAATAAAGCCCCAGGGGAGGACTCTATCCCATCGGAAGTAATCAAAGCAGGAGGCACAGAACTGGCAAGGGAGATCCACAAACTGATCATTGATATTTGGGACAACGAATTGATTCCGAATGAATGGAAGGAAGCAGTTATCATTCCCATTCACAAGAAAGGAGACAAAAAAGAATGCACCAATTACAGAGGAATTTCCCTCCTTAACTGCACCTATAAAGTATTATCAAAGATTTTACAAAAAAGACTAGAGAAGTATACATCAAATATCATAGGAGACCATCAAGCCGGCTTCACAAGAGGAAGATCAACCACGGATCAAATTTTTATATTGAAAGAGGCAATTGCAAAATATTATGAATTCAACAAATCCTTTCTCTGCCTTTTCATTGACTTCTCCAAAGCATACGACTCGATCACTAGGGGAAAACTCTGGAAAGTAATGGAAAAGTATGGAATACCTAAAAAGTTAATAAATCTATCAAAGTCAACTGTTTCAGGATCTAAATGCAAGGTTAAAGTCAATGGAGAATTCTCAGAGGATTTTGATATAAATACTGGTGTGAGACAAGGAGATGGTTTGTCCCCATTGTTATTCAACCTAGCTCTGGAAGACTCTCTACAAGAATTACAAAAGCTAGAAGCTGGAATTACTATGGGAACCAACATTAATATCCTGGCATTTGCAGATGATGTGGCACTTGTGGCCAAAAACGAAGAAGAACTAAAAGTTATGGTCTCAAAACTCATAAACCACACTAAAAAAGTTGGCTTAAATATCAATGTAGACAAAACCAAGATAATGGAATGTGGAAGAGCTATCCAATTAAATAATAAGAATCATGTAGAAATAGAAGGACACAAATTTTATAAAGTAAACAATTTCTCTTACCTAGGAGTAATGCTGACAGATAATAATGAGGAAGACTCTGAAATTCAGCAAAGATTAAATGCAGCTCATAAAAGTTTATTGGCATGCCACAAATTGTTGAGTTCTCGCCTACTCTCACAGAAAACTAAAATCCGTATATACAAAACTATAATAAGACCAGTATTACTATATGGCTCAGAGAATTGGGTGATAAGCAAGAGAACTGAGAAACAACTTATAGTGTTCGAAAACAAGATTCTAAGGAAAATCTTTGGACCAACCTTTGAAAACGGAGAATGGAGAGTTAAGCACAACAGGGAGTTGAGAGAGTTGTACAGGGACCCAGATATTGTGGCTGAGGTGAGAAGTAGGAGATTGAGATGGGCAGGCCATGTGTTAAGAAAGGAAGAGGGATCCTTAGTGAGAAACGCCCTAAACAACAATCCCGAGGGTAGAAGACCTCCTGGAAGGCCCAAGTTGAGGTGGAGAGATCAAGTGAGAAGAGATCTGAGAAGAATGGGAAGAAGAGAGGATGAAGCAATGGATCGTGCAGTCTGGAGGCAGTGTGTTGGCGAGGCAAAGTACCTCCTTGGGTACCAAGAGCCACGGCAGTAAGTAAGTAAGTAAGTAAGATTAACATGGGGGAATCAAAATATTTAATTGGAAACTTTGTCTCCACTATTTTGAGAGAACGGCTGGGTGTAGAAACTTGGTAGAGGTGTCCAAAGAAAAGTCTTGGTCTGTAGATGATTTATCAAAAGAAAAACAAAGTAAACTCCATTAGGGCTCTGCCCCAGAAGCATTTAAAGATCCCTCCACAGATTTGTTTACATTTTGGCCACGTGGATAATACTTTTTAATGAAACAGCTGTTAATTTTTAAATTGTATTTTGAACAACACTCGTTTATTGGGAGTTACTGAATTGTCAAAAATAAGTAGGCCTATTTGCAATGTTATTTTCTGATTTTAAAATGGTTTTTTATCTGTATCATGTCATGTTTTGCAAAACGTTCTATTGTGAAATCAGTGGAAAATCCTTTTATTACAGTAACTCTTACAATTATTTATTATTCAACTATCTTATATCTGTTTTACGAGTTGGTGTCTGCCTTTTTCACCACTTTTGCCTATATTTTATCATATTATTCTAGACAGATCATCATAAATTCATGAGATTATTGTCATACATGTGTTCAATCATTGGAAAAATCTTCAATTGTGTAATACAATACTGTACAAAATTATACAAGTGCAGAAGGGCACGGTGCCCATTTGAGCTGTGTCCATATTTTGTTAAATTAATAGTAGTTTTCAGGACCTGGATAAAACTTTTTACAATATTTATGTAGAAATATGTGAATGATTTAGTAAGTCATTAAGCTAGAAAACTGCAATGTACTGAAGACTTTTCAGAGAGGTTACTTCGATGTATTCATTCAGCTTAGTGAAAACGTAATATAGGCCTAGATATGTTTATAAATAAGAACTTGAAATCTTAGAGAGCCTTTGAATGTTTGAATGTAGAGGGTTTTGCATGTTTACTAGCGCTACTCAGCAACAAAAACCATTTAATTTATCTCTAAAAATATATTCTTAAAGTGCACTTGATTTGATTTGATTTGTGACATTTTTAATTCGGCATATATTTCTCCAACAGATAATTCATCTAATAACATCCAAACACAGAAATCTTGCCTAAAATGGTACCTATCTTGACAAATTATTTGCAGTGGCCTATATTACGGACGTAGCCCGGGTTGGTAACATTATTGAAAATAACACAACATTTTGGCTGTAAAAAATGGCACAATGAGTAAATACTATTTAAGCAGCTACTGTCATGACAGAAAGGTCATACTCATTTTAAACTAGATCACATCATCCTTTATAAGATACGTTAATTAAAAATGCATGTAAACGTCAATATTTACGTAACAGCCAATGTACAGTATTTTTTGCTTTTTTAAAATGCCACATTGCTATTTCATTTGCATTATTTGTTGCCAATGAAGCCGCACGACCATATAAATGAGGGGGCCCCTAAAAGTTCAAGAATAAAAGCCAATTACCCAATTTCACTTCAAGTATATTCCACTACACCTAACATTTTGTAGAGAGATTATATTGACAACTTTATGTAATTGATAAGGCTGAGACAACTAACTGTCATCCCCCATGTCAAGGAATTCCAGCTTTAACAGTAACCCCACAACAAATTTCTCAAAACTATGATAGAGGGTTATTCATTGGCACAGAAGTACGATAAGAAATGACACAACGTGACAAATGAAAAATCAAACTTACACTCTAACGGAAATACCTCCTTTTGAAGTTAGAACGTGTCTTCCCAACAGATATCTTTTTTTTTCAAATAAAATCATAGATTAATCTGCATTACACTGATGAAATCTCAGAAGTGTTTAACTACAAAAGATCCATCAATACGATTTTAATACTATTTAAAGGTTCTTCCAAAGGAAGAGATACCAGATAACATACTAATAATAGCTCCGATGACTTACGGTATGGGAAATATTTTATTCATTGAATGATCATTGATCAACCATATTTGGTAACTAACGCAATTAATATCATTATTGTTTTTACACTCATTACTCTTTAATCAATGCTAAATGATCGAAATATGTATAATTTCACTAAATTTTTTAGCAGTCAGATGAATTAGCGTAAGCCTTGAAAGTAACCGTCGATTTCGACGGGTTTCACCTAGTAATCATTATTGGCTTATACAGTATAGCATTTAAATGGTCCGTTTTAACAAAGTTTTTGTGAACGTCAGTTTAACCGGAAAAACCGTTATCCGGACTGGCCTCAGTCCTGAAGAGTCCGGATAAGAGGGAGTCTACTGTAAATTAATTTAAAAAGGGATTCTGCACATGTACAGGAAAATATCTTTTTAACAGTATGCGTAGATTTTCCCTGCGATGCACTCAAGCTGATATAAAAGGTTTTCAAGAAACATGCTTGCTACATACAGTATATGTAGGATATTTCTTCATTGCCATATTTGATATGTTCACATAGCTAAATGACTGGTTCAACTAATCTTTTAGGTTATATGACCTAGGCCCAGTTCCTTGAGGGTCAGCTAAGAGAAGATGTACTGTACATTCTTTTGTTTTGTCTATATTTACGTAATTAATTTTCAAGAAAAGCAAACTTCAATTGTTCTTTATAAATGATATATCAAGGTAAAAATAACTTTTGTCACCAATGATCCGAAATTTTTTCAATGGAATACTTGTTTAGCTTGCGATGTATTGCTTTGGCGATGTTTCCTGACTGTGCTTATGTGTTAACACAGGGATTGAACCTGCGAGTGATTCATTTCCACTCTCTGAGTGACCACGGAGAGGCAGGTCACTACCACTATGACACCCAGCCTGATACTGTGGAGTATCTTGCCTACTTCAGCCTCGGAGCTCGGGTCATACGAGTTGATCGTCCTCCCGATTCTAGCAAGCTGGGTCACAATTGATCAGTAGCTAATTCCTACTAGTTAATTTAATTTGTTTAGCATTTTTTGAATGTTTATACAATTAGAGCCAGCCTTAATGTGATCTTTAATTGCTCCCTAGTTCTCAGAGTTACGATATTTCATGTTGGTTTACTTAAAAAATATTCAAGGCAATGCACAATTAGTTGACATTTGGTTTGATAAAAAAACAGAATCATACCTTTTCCATTTGATATTATTTTCCCTTTAGACAATGATTGAAAAAATCTTGAATACAGAGAAAATTATTTGATTAAACTGTAAGGGGGTTTACATAAATTATTTACTTTAAAATATTAATTGAAACAAAAATTAACAAATTTGTTACCTAATACACATACCCTCATGAAAACCTATATAATGCAACTGCTAAGTACAGTATACTAAATGTGGTATTATTGTTGGGTTTACATAGTTTTTAGTTTCATATATATATATATATATACTATATTACATATAAAATTATTTATAATATATAGGTATATTACGAAATGATACTTCATTTATGAGACTGTTATCAAATATAGTTAGTAATATATTTTTTATAAAAGGTTTTATTTTATTAAAATATCTCTCTTTACTTAAATGTATTATTTGTCAACCTTTTGTTTATAACTCCGAAAATTATTATTTCTCCACAACAATACTACTTTGTTTGATTAAGTATAGTCTGAGCAGAATTGCTGCTTAAGCTAGGGTTTCCAAGATCACGCCAGCGTGATCTGTCCGGCGTGATGTCCGTTGGCGCTAATTTTTGTCCGGCGGATGTCGGATCAAGCTCGGCGTGAGAGTGGTTTGCAAGAAAGCGGACATTCGCGGTTATTTCTCTTGGGGAAATGAGCTAGTGTCAACAATGACAAAAAATTGCATATAAATGAGACATTTACAAGCAAACTAAATGTATACTATATTGTCAAAATTGTTTGAAATAACATCGGAGTTATTAAAAGAACTTTATAGGCCTTAAAATAAGTAAAATAACTACCAAACATAGCTCAACCATCTGGTTCTAGAAACAAAGAGACCCATGAAAACAGTTTTTGTTAAAATAAAAAACAAACCATTTGTTCAAAGCAATTGGATTCTATTACAATACCACCAAAAAGATTAAAATCAATATAGGATGATAGTTACATTGTTGTTAAATAAATTTTGCTTTTATTACAATCGCACCGAAATAAACTAAGCGTGATTTTTACATTTTTACAAGAATCCTCACAGAGTCCTACACTTGTCCTACACTGGCTCAGCGTGGACTCACGCCGGACAGATGGCGGGAAAACTTATGTCTGGTGTGATCGCTCGCGCTTGGAAACCGCACCCATATAAAAGCATGGCTTCAATTTAAACTTGATTACGTAATCACGCTTGTCCACTCACGCTATCCGCCTGGCGTGATCTTGGAAACCCTAGCTTTATGAAGAAGTTAGTCCAGTAAATAAAGACAAAAATAGGGGGGTTAACTTACAAATGGTCCGGTAGTTCTAAATTTTTTATATCTAGGATGGTAAGTTAGTGTTTAAAATGCAAAATGCACAATTCTCCCCCCTGCGCGCCCGCCGCCATATTGGAAAAATCTAAAAAATCGGTACTTTTTAGAGGTTTTCGCATATATGCATATATCTCCGTTTTGGTGTGTTTTAGCGAAAAAAATAAAGAATTGATTTAATGCTGATACATAACAAATATTTTATAACATTTCTCTGCAACAAAATTGTTGTTTTCTCTTCTTGATCACTTAAAATCCTTACAACTCTTCTCAATTGTTTGAATAAATTAAAACATAAAACATCTGTTCATAAAAACAAAGACTAACAAATTATTATATTTGATGTTGATTAATATTGAATTTGTACTAGGGCCTATATAAAAAATAACTCAATTTATAACATCCTCCCCACCTTGGAATTTTGCTTTAGGTCATCAAAATTTCAAACAAAACTATTTACATGTTTCTTTTGGTTTACAAGTCCATTTTCCTCAGGATTTTTATCTTCCTCCCTCTTCTTGATTCTGTAGGTGTTGATGAATTATCTTCTGTTTCAATATGTACATCCTGTTTCCTTGACATGTCTTTTGAATTTATTTCCATGGGGTAAAGTCTCTGGATGGGTCTTGTTAGTTCCCCTTTTGCTGTTTTTAACTTGGCTACTCTGCAGACTCCATCCTTTCCTTGTATTGTCTCCAACACTAGGGCCAGTGGCCAATTTATTCTTTTGATATTATCGTCACCTATTAGTACAATATCACCAGTACTTATTGTTTTCCTTCCTTTAACACTGTTTTCTTTAGATCTATGTACTAGCATTGCAAGGTATTCTTTCTTAAATCTTGATCTCAAATTTTGTCTTAAGTTTTGAAGATACCTCACTTGCTTGTTTAGAGTGGTTGAGTTGACAATGATCATGAACGTCACTCTTAACAATTGGTTGTAGAAATACTGAAGGTGTGAGAGGCTGTAGAGTGTCATAGTCATCACTCATATAGGTCAAAGGCCTTGAGTTGATGGTAGATTCCAAATCACATAAAAGAGTCATTAAGTCTTCATAATCTACTTTTGCCAATCCTCAACAGTTCCTTGACCATTCTCACAAGTGGTTCCCACATACCTCCCCACCATGGGGCAATTGGAGGATTGAATTTCCAGGTTATTTGTTGGATCTCGAATTTCCGAGAAATGGTTTTCCAATCCAACCGCTTAAGGATATTATTTGTATCGACAAAATTGGTCCCATTGTCTGTGTAAATTAGTGAAATTCGTCCTCTTCTGGATATAAACCGTCGTAAAGCAGATATGAAGGATTCCGTTGAAAGAGACTGTACCAGCTCTAGTTCACAGCTCTGTACACGGCACATGTGAATAAAACCACCCATGCTCTTTCACCGTTTCTTAGGTACAGTGGTCCTGCCAAATCAATGCCTGTAAACTGGAAAGTGTTGCATTCCGTGATCCGTTCTAAGGGAAGTGGAGCAACTGGTGCTTCTCCTGCTTTAGACTTGAATCTCTTGCATTTGGCACAGTGAGATAAAACATTGCAAATGGTTTTTCTACTCTTTAGAATCCAAAACCTATCTCTGACTATAACTAACATTGATTGAAGTTCATCGTGTTGATTAGCAACATGAAGTTCCATAATGGTACGTGTGACGATAGGATGATTTGAAGGTAAAAGAATCGGCAATTTGAAATCTTCACTGTCGTCATTCAGAACTAGTCTGGTCTTCACTCTTAACAAACCCTTGTCATCGTAGAAAACTGGCAAGTTTTTCTATCTTGAATTTAGATTTTTCTCCAAACGAGTTCTTTTGGATACATAAGATAACTTTCTCTTCAGCCATTTGGATCTCTTCACTACTTAAAGTCTTACTTTTTGATTCTTGATTGTGGCTTGAGTTCCTAATAAATCGTAAAATCCATGCTACCATTCTTAACAGTTTTAGATAGCTTGAAAAGTATAGTAATGACATTGAGAAGTCAATACTTTTTTCTGTAGTTACTGCTGATATAATCTTCTTTTTCCGTTCAGTATATGCTTCTGAATCTGGTAGCATTAGACTCGACACTGGCCACTGAGACTCATCATTTTGAAGCCAATACGGTCCTTCCCACCATTGAGTGTCTTAGCTCCGCAACCTCTTGAGGGCAAATCAGCAGGATTAAGATCTCCTGAAATGTGGTGCCAATCATCTTTAGAAGTAGTAGTAATACATATTTCCTTGCACCTGTTCCCAACGAACGTTCCCCAATCTTCCTTCTCTTTGATTCATGTTAGTACGATTGATGAGTCTGTCCAAAAATATGTTTTACATGACATCTTTAACGCCTTTTGAACATGTGTGTAGATCCGAGCTCCCATAAGTGCGGCTAACAGCTCCAATCTTGGTGCTGATGCATTCTTCTGTGCAATCCTAGATTTTGCATAAATCAGCTGCACAGCTACCTTGTTTTGAGTCTTAGTTCTGATAAAAAGACAAGCTGCATAAGCTAGTTTACTAGCATCGCAAAATATGTGAAAACTAGTCTCGTTTGCGGACAGACTCCCTAAAAGAAATATTCTTCTTGGTATTCGACAGCTTTCCAACCAATGAATATTTTCAACCCACTTTGATAATTGGCATGCTATTTCATTTGGAAGTTCTTCATCCCATGTCAGTTTTTTCTGCCATGTCTCCTGCAAGAGTAACTTAGGTAATAAAGACACAGAGCAAGTGAAACCTACCACATCAAAAATTAGCTGGGCCACTGAGAGTAGATCTCGTTTGGTTACCTTCTTGTTTGGTATAGAAATGGATCGTATGTCACAAAAAATCTCATCTTTTTCTCTGCCCCACAACATGCCCAGCAATGGTACGATATTTCATACATTTTCAAGGTTACTGACATCTGAATAGTTGCTAGCCCATTCTCTTAATTAAAACTGTCCTAGCTTCATTAGTTCCATGGATTCATTTACAATTTTTTCAGTTCTACTGCAGAGTCGACACTGACAATACAATTATCTACATAAAAGGCATCTTTCAGTTTCACAGCTGTCTCTTGTAGATGAAGTGGTGCGTCATCCAAATGGTGATTTAGTGTGGCTTCTAACAGAAAGGGACTGGAGGTAGTTCCAAAGACAACTCTGCAATGTCTAAAAGTTGTCAATTTTCTAGTCTTGTAGTCTTCCCACCAAATGAACCTAAGGTAGTCTCGGTCTTGAGGAGCTATACTGATCTGTAAAAAAGTTTTTTTTTATGTCTGCTGTTACTCCAATCTGGTGCTTCCTGAATTTCATTACAAGAGATGGAATCAACTCTACTAAATTTGGACCTGTAGCCAAACATTCATTCAAAGAATGCCCTCTCCTGTCCTTTGTAGACGCATCAAACACTGGACGTATTTTAGTAGTTAAGCTCCTGTACCATTTTCAAAATTGCTGAGAACCTCTAACTTAGGCTTAGGGCTATACTTTACTGCTGTAGATTAGAATCTGGTTTATCAGCATCAATTTTAGATCTACTTTCATACAAGTCCCTACACATGATTCCATAATGCCTTTTACAACAGAAGAGGCATTTTACAAATACCTTACATCTTTTTGCTGCGTGGCCTTGTCTTAAGCACACAAAGCAGCAGTTTTTCTTAGTTAGATGTTCCTTTCTTTCATTTAATGTCAATTGTTGAAATGAGGAACAATCTTGAGCTTTATGACCTCC